GTGTGTGTGTGTGTGTGTGTGTGTGTGTGTGTTGTTTGTAAAGATTAAAAAAAAATAGGCGGGGAAGAGAGGAGAAAACACCATCCAGGCCACTATGGATGTAGAAGCCCTCTACACCAACATTCCACACAAAGATAGATTACAAGCCATCAGGAACAGTATCCCTGATAATGTCATGGCAAACCTGGTGGCTGAACTTTGTGACTTTGTCCTCGCCCACAACTATTTCACATTTGGGGACAATATATACCTTCAAGTCAGTGGCACTGCTATGGGTACCCGCATGGCCCCACAGTATGCCAACATTTTTATGGCTGACTTAGAACAATGCTTCCTCAGCTCTCGTCCCCTAATGCCCCTACTCTACTTGCACTACATTGATGACATCTTCATCCTCTGGACCCATGGAAAAGAAGCCCTTGAGGAATTCCACCATGACTTCAACAATTTCCATCCCACCATCAACCTCAGCCTGGACCGGTCCACACAAGAGATCCACTTCCTGGATACTACAGTGCTAATAAGCGATGGTCACATAAACACCACCCTATACAGGAAACTTGCTGACCGCTATACTTACCTACATGCCTCCAGCTTTCATCCAGACCATATCACACGATCCATTGTCTACAGCCAAGCCCTAAGGTAAACCGCATTTGTGCCAATCCCTCAGACGAACACCTACACGATCTCTATCAAGCGTTCTTAAATCTACAATACCCACCCTGTGAAGTGAAGAAACAGATTGACAGAGCCAGAAGAATACCCAGAAGTCACCTACTTCAGGACAGGCCCAACAAAGAAAGTAACAGAATGCCACTAGCCGTCACCTTCAGCCCCCAGCGCATTATCAAGGAGCTACAACCTATCCTGAAGGAGGATCCCTCACTCTCACAGATCTTGGGAGACAGGCCAGTCCTCGCTTACAGACAGCCCCCCAACCTGAAGGAAATACTCACAAGCAACCACACAACAAAAACACTAACCCAGGATCCTATCCTGGCAACAAAGCCCATTGCCAATTCGGTCCACATATCTGTTCAAGGGACATCATCATAGGACCTAATCACATCAGCCACACTATGAGGCTCATTCACCTGCACATCTACCAATGTGATATATGCCACCATGTGCCAGCAATGCCCCTCTGCCATGTACATTGGCCAGACCGGACAGTCTCTACGCAAAAGAATAAATGGACACAAATCAGACATCAAGAATTATAACATTCAAAAACCAGTCGGAGAACACTTCAGCCTCCCTGGTCACTCAATTACAGACCTAAAAGTCGCAATTCCTAACCAGAAAAAACCTTCAAAAACAGACTCCAACGAGAAACTGCAGAACTGGAATTAATTTGCAAACTGGACACCATTAAATTAGGCTTGAATAAAGACTGGGAGTGGATGGGTAATTACACAAAGTAAAAACTATTTCCCCATTCTAATTTTCCCCCTACTGTTACTCACACCTTGTCAACTGTTTGAAATGGGCTATCTTGATTATCACTACAGAAGGTTTTTTTTCTCCTGCTGATAATAGCCCACCTTAATTGATTGGTCTTGTTAGAGTTGGTATGGCAACACCAATTTTTTCATGGTGTGTGTGTGTGTGTGTGTGTGTGTGTGTGTCTTCCTACTGTATTTTCCACTGCATGCATCCGATGAAGTGGGTTTTAGCCCACAAAAGCTTATGCTCAAATAAATTCGTTAGTCTCTAAGGTTTCACAAGCACTCCTTGTTCTTTTTACAATAAATCAAAAAGTTTGTGGAAACCTAAATGTGCTTCCCAACTCTTATTATAGGTGGGGCTGGCAGTACTACCTTTTAATAAGAGCGCCTGCCACTTCCCATTTTAAGATCCTGTTTTCAGTTGCTTATAACTTTCCCATATTTTATCTCTTTGGGCTGCAATTTTCTATGACAAGTATCTGTGTCAGGATGAACTTTATTTTGAAAATTTCAAGCAAAATGGTTCAGCTGTTTCCTAGAATGAGGCTAGGGATAAAGACCTTTTCTCTGAGAAGCGCTCTAGTGTCTCCACAGTTTGGAGCAGAGACTTGAAATTTGGAAGGGGAGTGGCTATTGTGTCAGGGATGTTTGCTTTCCCCTTGAAAATCTGCCCAAACTTGGCTAAAGTATAAGCCTTTGAAAAATTGCAGTAGGGTATCCTCTGTAGGTATTTACTAGATTTGAGTCTCTCTCCTGTGCTCTCAGTGCTCTCCTTGCTGGCATTCTAGCAGTGTGGAGAAGAAAGCTGCCTGAACCAACTGCAGAGGGGACAAGAGCCAAACTTGGGGCAGTGGCAGGGGGAGCAAAAAATGGGAAAAGGAGCCTTTGGGGTGTAGAAATGGCTGGGCTAAGAGACTGGGATGAGAATCCTGAGGAATCGGGGCTGAGGTTGGCTAGGTGAGAAGAATGGGACTGGTATGAGGAGCCAGAGGTTGAGAAGAGATGGGACTAGAGTAGGGCAAAGCTGGGGGGAAGGTGCAAAAGGGTCGAGCTTGGGAAATGGGTAGAAAAATATGTGCCCACTAGAGCTTGGAATAGAGTACTGTCCCCTCCAGAGCTTGAAGTGGAATCGAAGATTCCTCTGTTTTCTGCAAATATCTGTGAAATCCAGTGTCCATGTCTCATCCCCTCTACTGCTAGTCCACACACAGGTCGACAACTTACTACTGCTGCCATTTACTCCATTAGCTCACATGGCAGAGGACTATGTGTTGGATCAAAACTATGTTAAAAGAATATGATTAAGGTTGCAGAATCAAGAAATACGAAGGTATTTAGAATTAAGGTTGCCTATTCAATCTTAATTGAGCCGCCTTGGGCATATGCATTATGGTACTGTCTTTTAACTATGTAACGTAACATACTATTTTTTCCGCAGGACCCCTTCCTCATTCAGTGCACAGGCTGGACCTGTTATGTGATGAATACGAGTTGTATAGTAAAGAAGAGTGTTGTCTGTAGAACTGCTACTTCAGTTGCATAAGTTGGAAGGCGTGTAGTGAATGAGGCAGGGGATTGCAGGAAGAGAAAGGATGATCTCTTGGTTCAGGCAGTGGTATGGTACCCTGGGAAGTAAATTCTACCCATGCCCTGCCACTGAATGATGCTGGGCAAGTCACTTAAACTAAACTTTTCACAGGTGGTCATAAATTGTGTGTATGTGCCTCATTTTCTGGGTGCCTGTCTTAAGACCCTGGGCCCCATTTTACAAATGGGGAACTGAGGCAAAGAAAGATTAAGGTAAAAAATATCCATTAATTTTGGATACCCAGTTTGACATGCCAAGGACCTGATTTTTTCAGAGTGCTTAGCATTATTTTAATACTCAATAGCTTCAAAACACAGTTCCCACTGTCTTCAATTGCGAGCGTTCAACACTTCTGCAAATCAGGTCTCAGGGTCTCAAGTGAGGCACCCAGAAAATGAGGAGAACACAGTTAATGACCACCTGTGAAAAGTTAGGCTCAAGTGACTTGCCTAGTCTCTAGGGACTCCAGCAGAGAAACTGAAAACATGTTATGTATCTTTATAGTGCCTAGCACAATATGAGGGCCACAGGTGCTACCACAATATTAATTTAATAAAGGAAATGCTGTTACATAGTCTAAAATGACAAATGTGTTATCATTGTTCACAGGTATTCGACAGCTTCAGCTTATCCTCTTCAAAGTTGCACTTATGCTGGGAATTGAAATCCATGTGAACGTAGAGTTTGCGAAAGTTCTGGAACCTCCTGAAGATCAGGAAAACCAAAGTACGGCTGACTTGTGACTTCAAATAACAAAATTAAGAAGCCAGTAACTTTGTCCTATTGAATTACTCTCATTGTATGAAATAACTGTATTATCATTTGTGAAATAATTTCTAATCAAGCCAAGGTAGCCACACTTCCTCTTAAAGAAACTTGTGCCTTTCTTATGAAACAGTGTATGGAATTGCAAGCATGATAACTGTCATTGTATCAATATACTGATCCATTTTAAAAATATGCCCGGGCCAGAGAAGTAGAGGTTTCTCACTATGCCTGCGGGCATGTGCTTGAGGTTTTGTAGGGAGGCTAGTATGGCCTGCTGCTGTCTTCTTGGCATGAGAATTTTAGATTGATAAATATGAATTTTGAGGATATCTTTAAGCCCCATGAGCCAAATGTTGCTCTTTCTTCCATCGTATGTGACTCCCATTGACAGTTAGTACCCTATCAGAAGTTAGCCATTCTCATTGAATGGTATTTACCAGTATGTATAAATACGGCTGCGAGTCTGTCATGGATATCATGGATTCCGTGACTTTCTGGGACCTTTGGAATTTCTGCAGCAGCCGGTGCGGCTGGTCGGTGGGGCCACCTGAGCAGTTCAGGCAGCCCCTGGGCCAGCCGCACTAGCCACTGCTGGGGCAGTTCTCGGGTCACCGCCTCCCCCCCACAGCAGCAGCAGGAGGCATTTTGGGTGTGGGAGGGGGCTCCGAACTGGGGGTTGGAGCACTGGAGGGGGTGAGGGGACTCTGGGCCGCACTTCCCTTGTGGGGCTCCCCAGAAAATGGGTGACATGACCCTCCCTCCCTCCCTCAGCTCCTGGCTCTGTGCACTGCCTCCACCTGCAGGCACCACCTCCACAGCTCCCATTGGCCATGGTTCTCAGACAACGGGAGCTGTGGAGCCGGCTCTTGGGGCAGGGGCAGTGCACGGAGCTAGGAGCTGAGGGAGGGACATGTCCCCACTCCCAGGGAGCCGCAAGGAGCAGCGAAGGGAGCTTGCCAGCCCCACCAACTTCTCCCCCCTAGCACCAGTAGAGGTCCTAGGCCGTGCACTGCCGCCCCCCTCACCCAGCACCAGCGGGGTCCTGGGCTGCCCATGGTTCTTCTACCCCTCCCCCCCCCCCCCCAAAAAGATTTAATTGGGTATATAGTACAAGTCATGGGCCATGAATTTTTGTTTACTGCCCATGACTTTTACTAAAAATACCTGTGACTAAAACATAGCTTTAGTTTATAACGTGGTGCAAAAATTTAATATAGAGTGAGCAAGTTTTCCATTTTGTATCTTGGTGGCTAATACTACTTCTGTGTTGTTTTTAATTGACTGTGGGTAGATGAAATGAGATAAAGGGATACTAGTTATGATTGTCAGTATTTGTATTTAGAATATTTGTCATTAATATAAGTACAGGTAATACAAACATTTTCAGATTCTATTTTAGGTTAATGAAAGTGATGCATCTTTCTCTAAAAGGTTGTAGCATTTTGGCTAGATTTTATTTTCCCCTCTCTTTGTGTTAGATTAATTGGAATCTGCTTAACAGTTTTTAAAATAAAACTATTAGGGTCCAATTCTGCAAACACTTACACATGAGTGAGTTGTCGTATTGAGTTCAAGCTGGAACTACCCATGTGAGTAAATTCACTTGTGTATGTATTCACAAGATTGGGCCCATAGTCAACATAATGTTTTATATGATCCAAATGAAGGCGTTCCTTTCTGCCATCAGCTTGCAAGCTTAACCCTCATTAACATTAGTGAGAGTGGCATGCAGCTTTGCCGTCAGTGGAAGTTGTATGCAGATGTCTGAGGACAGATTTCGGTTCAGTTTGAAAGGAAAATAGACTCTTTTTTTTTTATCCTAATTGCTTTCCTTCACATTCTAACAATGCTTCTTCTGTAACAGTGCAATATCTGAGTAAGTTGTATTACTTGTTTCTTTAGAGATAGGTTGGCGGGCTGAATTTCTCCCAATGGATCACCCTCTGTCAGCATTTGAATTTGATGTTATTATTGGTGCAGATGGTCGCAGGAACACTTTAGAAGGTGGGTAAAAAGATATTCTTAAGCTCAATAACTGTCTTAAAGTACAGTGGAAAGGCTAAGAGCTAAGGAGACCAGAAGGGAATGGGTTTTCTCCTTCTCCCTGTCCCTCTCCCTCTCCTTCAATGCATAAGTGTTTGCATATATGATAGTGGAAATTCCTTTATGGCGTGTCTCCCACCTTTATTATAGTTTTTCAGCTGTACCCCAACAAGTGAGACATTTACTTAATTACTGATTCTTAGGGCCATCTCTGCCAGTTTGTAGGGATCATATTGTGGTGGTTAGTACACCTCTACGCCGATATAACACGAATTTGGATATAACACGGTAAAGCAGTGCTCCGGGGGGGGGCCGGGCTGCGCACTCCAGCGGATCAAAGCAAGTTCGATATAACGC